TTTCGAATAATTGGGAACCGAGCTAGATTTGGACCGACAAAATCTAAGCTCACATGAGTTGGCCCAACTCATTATCTTAATATTACATTGCATTTCTGTTTTTAGATATCTGAATTTGTTGATGGCTTGTTCACGGAATTTTATAGAAAAAATTACCTAAATCAGATATACTTCACTTTTAAAATATATTATTACTATCTATACTTTTAAAATATTTCGTATGTTACCTCTAATTGAGAGATTTCTACCATAAATATTGAAGAAAATTCGCTTAGATACATGTATTATTGCTACTAAATATACAAAAATAGGGAGAGAGGCAAACAAGATTCATATGTATCTCAGATATATGTGAATAATGTTGGGTTATGAAGGGTGATTAGGGCGTCACGCGGAAGCTTACAATTGCAATCAAGATGGTGATAAATTAGATGACAAATAAAGCGATACTAAAACATAATATTATTAATATGAAAACTAATTTAAAAGAAAAATATTATAACTGTTGAGAGAATAAATCTCCCCATAAACAAGACTCTTAATTGACTACATTATTGTGGATTCTCTTATGTTATGCTATGAGAATAGAAATCTTCAATTTATAGATTTCCAAACATTTCCTCTAAGGAAAGAATAAACCAAATATGGAAGAAAATTATATTTTCCTTTCAGAAAAAGTTCAAGCATTTATGGTAATACTTTGACTTTTCTTTAAGGAAAAAAATAAACTTCAAATAAGGTAAGAAAATCAGAGCAAAACCCTAACAAATAACACCAGATATTATATATATATATATATATATATATACATGTATCTAGTGTGATTCGTATGTATCCGAAATATGACACGCAAGATGGGAGAGAGGTGAGCGAAATTTGTTAACTATCCCAAATACATACGAATTCACTATGATACAATATATCTAGAACAAATTATACCTAATTTTGACTATATGTATTCGAGATACATGTTTCTGGAAGTATCAAAAGGCACTAAAATTTAATAAGATACGTAATATTGCAAACTAGAATGTATTTAAGTAATTAACTCCTAAACTAGTGAGATTTATGTAAGTTGCCCTTTTTATATGTAGACACGAAAATGAATTTTAGTAGTACTAGTTTTTTCTACTATATAGAAAAGCCAAGTATGGACGACCAAGGGCATAACTGTAATTTCACAGCTAACATTGTGGCCATATATTTTGAAAAGCCAAGCCAAACCAAATATGGACAACCAAGGGTATAATGGTAAGTTCATAGCTAAGGGCCACATATTTTGACTTTTCTCATTTCCATTACAATTCTAGCTAGGTCTAGAAACATCCATCTTCTTCATCATTGTATAAGTATGAGTCTCGCCGTAAGAAGAAGGGAATTTTCGGTAAGTGGTTGCTGCTTATTTATCTTCTTGTACTGTTTTCAGGAAGCAACAATATTTGTTCTTCTTCAACAAAAAAGTTCCATATTAGTCTCTTTATCTCAAAAAAGAGAATTTTGAGATTTACTAATCAGAATGATTTTGCAGACAAATTCTTAAAATGATTTGGTATGTTCCTTTTTTCTTTAAATGATTTGTTATCTTCTTTAATTTAATTTTGGTAAATAGCTTCCTTTACTTTGATACTATGACATTATTTTCATCTCTGTAACGTAAAATTTACTTCGCCTTGTTGAATCTCAATGCCTATGTTATCTAATATTCTTGCTTTATCAGTTGGAATATGGTAGTTGCACGATATAAATTTTACAGGACTTTGAAAGTCGAATTTGTTCGAGATGAAGAAAGTGGGACAATGCTACGAATTTAAGAGGTAAATTCTGGACGGTTGTATTCTATACACTTAGTTATAACGGAAAATGGTATTTGTAAATCTCAGGTACATATACTGCTCTTCAGTTGATGCATACCTCAAACCTGAGTATTTACCACACTTCGAGGTCAGTATAGTAGCATGTGATTGTTTTCTGAGTTTATTTTCAGTATACTTGTGACACTAGATAGTTAAGAAGAATAGGCAACAATACACGATTGTCAGTTTGATTAGTAAACACTTAAAAATATGCCTTTTGTACTCAAATAAATAGGTATTTTACTCAGTAAATATTGTCAATATTGTTAGGGTTTTGCCCTGATTTTCTTACCATAATTTAAGATTTATTTTTCCTTAACGAAAAGACAAAACATTACCATAAATGTTTTTACTTTTCCTGAAAGGAAAATATAATATTCTTTCATATTTGGTTTATTCTTTCCTCTTAGGAAAAGGTTTTGGAGTAGCTAGTTCTTTTCTAGTAGGAAAGGTTTTAAGACTCTATAAATATATGTTTGTTTCTTCTAACACAAAACAATAACATCCACAATGTAGTCGTTTAAGACTTTTGTTTATGGGAGATTTATTCTCTCTAAAGTTTCAATGTTTTTCTTTATATTAGTTTTGATATAATAGTATTTAATTTTTAGTATAAGTTTTTGTTATCTGATTTATCAACTATATGATTTGCAATTGTAAGCTTCTGCATGACGCCATAATCACCCCTTCATAATCCAACAAGTGGTATCAGAGCACATGGTTCAAAGATCCGGTGATCCTATGGTTCAACGAGGTTGAAGACAAGCTCAAGATGGTTTCAAATCAATTTGTAATCAATTTGATTGGGGGGGGGGCTGGTAGGGCGTGGGTGGGGGGGTCGAGGGTAGGGGTGAAAAATTGAAATTTTAAAGTTAAAAATATTTTTTTTAAAACAAACTTAATTTTTTTTTGGAGGGTGGGGATGGGGGTGGGGAGGCTGGTAGGGGTTGGGTGGGTGGGGGGTCGAGGATAGGGGTGAAAAAATTAAATTTTGAAGTCGAAAATATTTTTTAAAAACAAACTTAAATTTTTTTTGGGGGGTGGAGGGGGGCTGGTAGGGGGTGGGGGGTCGAGGGTAGGGGTGGAAAAAATGAAATTTTGAAGTCGAAAATATTTTTTAAAACAAACTTAAAAATTTTTTTTTTTGGGGGGGGGGGGGGGTCGAGGGTAGGGGTAAAAATATGAAATTTTGAAGTCGAAAATATTTTTTAAAGAAAAACTTAAATTTTTTTTTGGGGAGTGGGGGGGCTGGGTACGGGGGTCGAGGGTAAGAGTGAAAAAATGAAATAATATTTTTTAAAAACAAACTTAATTTTTTTTCTTTTTGAAGGGGGTGGGGGGCTTATAGGGGGCTAGGGGGGCGAGGGTAGGAGGTGGGGTGTAAAAAAATAAAAAATTGAAATTAGAAATATCTTTTGAAAATAACTTTTAATATTTTTTTGGGAGGGGTGGTGGTAGGGGGTGAGGGTGGGGTAAAAATATTGAATTTAAAAACAAACTTTAAATTAATATATTTTTTTTGGGTGGGCGGGGGGGGGGGGGGGGCTGGTTTGAGGGTAGGGACCAAATAAATTGATTTTTTCAACAATTTTTTTTTAATTGGAAGTTGGAAGTTTTCCTTAACTTTTGAAGGGAAGTAATTTTCCTTAAATTTGAGGAAAATGAGTTGATTTGGAAAACATTTTCCAAAACATTTAACCCAACCAAACATAAGAAAATTGAAAAACATTTTTTCGAAAAATGTTTTCCTTCATACCAAACACACCCTTAATGATTTATTCATTTCAGAGATGTAACAAATAGCAGCTTTTCAGCTCCGTGTTGTACTCCTGTTTGCACCTTACTTTGACCTTTCTTTTAATTTTTGTACTTATCTTAACCCTTAGTTCCTTTATGTAGTGTTTTATTTTTTACCAAGATTAGCCAAAACATCTTGCCCAATGTAAACATGATGATGCAGTGACCCGGAGAAAATGTAAATATGCAGGATTTGTGGACTTAGATCTCAATCAATTCAGTGATTTATTAGGGTAAAGGTAAATTGAAATCGGATGAAAGTGGCTTGATTAAATATCAAACTTTTGATATTGAGCAATTAATGGGTGTCGTATGCTTGAGTATTATAGTTTCAACAAACATTGCTTTTGTTATCATATATTTGTGTGCTGCAGGAGTTGATTTTTATAACGCTTTAAGTATTTGGTCTACCTCAATGCCAACAAATGATGTGCAAAGGTAGGTTCCATCAAGTTATTTGAAAATTTTGGGTTAGAATGTTATGGCATGCTTAAATATCAACAAATTTATTTGTAAGATAACATATATCATGTTTGAAAATTGATGCTCATGTCGGGGATGTGAATAATGATCTTGGCATTGGTTACCCGAAATAACAATTATGTGTAGTTATGTTGAGATGTAAAGTAGATAATGCTAACATATATGCTCTTCTTGCGGGAATCTATAATCTCCAGTTGTGAATTCTTCTAGGAGAAATAATTTGAATTACGTTCGATAGTTGTGAATTCTTCTAAAGGAGTAAAAAAATAAATTGAATTGCATTCGATATAATAGAAATTAGAGGGGAACAAAGCCGTTTAATTTTGAATGATATGAGGCTCTTGTGCACTTAATATGCCCTTATCAGACACATAGATCTCAGGTATATCTTAAGAAATGAAGATAGAGACTCATTTGGACCATGTGTTGTGTTATTTGTCACAATAACCTTGTTAGTAGTTCTTTATAATTTAAGGCATAGAATATATATTCATAGATCTGGCCTAAGTGTTTTCCCATTGTCTTCCACTGCAGGTGTCTTTGTAATCTAGAGCAAAGATGGTTGCGCCAAGTTTAAGAAACCATGGTAAACAAGAAGAATCCGTAGAAGTGTTGTAGGAATACATCCGAAAATAACATCACTATTTCAATTGGATAAACCTCGGTCTACATTTATCCAAGATTCTAGATAGAAATAGTTTCATATCACGACGGATATGCATTCAGTTTTTAGCTTTTTAGTTTTTGTAAACAAGTTTGTAATTATGATCCAAGTACGAGTAAATGAAGATAATGTTTGTATGTGCTGCTACTAAAATAACTTGGGTACATAATCAATTGCATGGGCTTGCTTATCTAGTATATATATACTTGGGGTCACACAAAATTTGCACTAAAACAACTAAAGACATTATGATCATATTCATTCTGATTTCACATAAAAATACAAAAGAAGAGAGATATTAACTTAAATTTATTTTCTGTGCATGGACTTCTTAAGCGTCTCTACGGAGTAACCAAACAGAAGAGACTGAATTTGAAATAACTTGTAGTAAAATTTCTATGATCAGCTTTCGACATGCGCGAGCAACAGCAATATGCTGATCAAATTTCAAGTTCGAGGTGATGAGATGGTACTCACCTATGATACATATGTAACTTTTAAGCGCTCTTCCAAATATTCTCCCGCACGAATTGGAGGAAATCTGTGGAAAATCAACTTCAGATTATCTCCATAGTACTATGATAATCTACCAGTAGGGAAGAAGAGAAGTCATGTGATACATAACAAGAAATTATCATTGTCACAATTAGAAGCATCAGGGCTCGCCTCATTTATCTTGATTGATTTCTTTATGAGAATTCAAGTGGCCGATTTCTTAGAACAAGTCAATCCATCTATGAGTTTGTGCCCCTACGAACTCTTTACTTATTTATCTTTTTCAAAATATAAAGTCCACCTCCCCACCATTCTCCCCTTGATTTGGGGGGGGGGGGGGGAGTGAATTTGACATCCCGAATGCTAAAGAACGAAAAGGTCTATCATCACATTATGGGACCTGAAACTGGTATTTGTTGCAATGAAAGCTTGAAAGCGTCCAAAATACTTGAATCTAAGTTTGGTATGCCGATTTGACGAGTCAGCAATGACCAAAATGTGGAACGCCATATAGGATATGATGAAGGACATAGGGTGCCTGTGAGGAGGGAATAGGCGAAACCTGAGGGCAGAAGGGCAAGGGTGGAGGCCGGTGAAGAAAAAAAAGATTGTTAATTGCCTTGGCCTAGGGAGGTAAGGGGTAGCTGAGGAGGGGGTGGGGAAGGATGAAGGGAAGTATTGGAGATCGAGGAAGGTGGAAGGGGGAATAATGGATAGGAAACAAGGGATGAGAGCTCATGATAAAGGTTGATGGTAGAACGGCATATTGTAGTCCATTTCTAATTGCACCCTTTTTACTGGAATAGCAGCTCCAGCGAAGGAAATACTTAGCATTTTTAATAGAGTGGTATCAACTACTGAATCAAAATTATGAAGGAATCAAGAAATACCAAGCATGAGAATATATACCAGAACGAAACACCAGAAAAACCTTTCCGTTGTGGGATCATACATTTGCATCAAGTAGGCCACAAGGGAAAAGCCTAAATTTTGGAACAAAAAAGTTTTTGGAAAAGACGTAACTTCAAGATGGTATATTCTTTTTGCAACTTCAACAACGAAATGTTAAATAGAGAGATTAAAGCTTTGACCAAGGTCATCAACATATTTTCAAAATGCAGAATCCAGCTCAAGACTAGTACAAAATTTTGCAAGTACCTGGGAGGAGATGAATCACTACAGCAGCTCTTCAAGCATTCCACCACACAATCTGGATTTGGATCCAAAAAGAAAGCCATCTACATGTTGCAACCGATATTTTGTTAGCTTATGTTGCATCGTTCTAATGGCAGAGGAATGAAGAGTCGAGAATATATTTAGAATCCCAGGAATTGTTCATACACTATCAGCTAGCATTTCGCACGAAATGAGATATATTGCTTGATGCCAATCCATACACAACAGAATAATAGAAAAAGACATTCGTTTAATTGAAACAATTCACTTTTCAGGATTGTCTTACAAATTACTTTTTAGGATATCTTATGTGAGAACATGAAAAAAAGGATTCACTCATTCTTTAACAATGTTTACAGCTCTTGGTTAGTTGGTTATGAACATGTTGTACTCTACACCATTATTTAGACCATAACAAATAGTTTCCTCTTACAATTAGGGATTCAATAGGTTTCAATAGTAATTTCAGAACTCATATTACCACATGCTCTAGCAACTCATATTGCCTAATTAAATGACATATTGGTTAGATTGATGAGAGTACGTGAAAATTTTCAAATAATTGAAGAGAGACAAACCGAGAGAAGAGCATTTGGAAAGTGCTCAAGGACAAGAGAGGAGACTGAGTTGGACTCACATAAAGAATTTATTTAAAAAGTTGTCTGAATTGTTATCCTTGAAACTTCGCCAAAGAATGCGAGAACTCTGAAATTCACTAGGCCACGCACCAACCAGGGTTAGTAATAAACAAATAGGTGTCCATCTGCAAGTTGTGATCAGAAAGTGGTCACAAATTACACACTCACCGGTGTGTGAGGAATGTGATGCTAGGCCCAAAGGCTCCTGGAGGCTCTAACAACAGTGCAATTTCTTGTGTAATGTCCCGCATGAGGATTTGGAGCCTTGTGGTGTGCTGGTTTATGGGCAGTCACCAGAAATTTCCAGTGACCTCAAAATAGCGCAGGGATGAATTTTTTTTCCTCCTATATAGCTGGTGATTGCACAATGAGGACTTGAGGGATTATTTCTCACAGATCATCTGATATCGTGTGAGAATATTAGAGAGATTGGGAAAATGTATCAAAACCAAATGTCTTATGTTAAAAAAATACTCTATATAATGTACACAATGTATTCCACTGATTCGTTCACTAATACATATATATGTATAATGACCAAGATTAATCTAATTAATCTGACATATCAAAACATTTGAAAGATGTTCATACACACAAAACTACGCCAATCAGAAGTTCCAAGCTTAAATTTTACCTTGATTGAGATCTTTCAACTAATTCTCTGCTTTCATATACCGATAATAACATAACATGACATTCACACGGACTCTATGTAATGGCATATACAAGATTTTTGTATAGGGTGTTGTCAAATTCTACCATGAAACGAATCAAGTGAGTTACGCTGCCTCCCTATAAAGGGAAGATTTGTGTGTAAACACATCCATTCTATGTTCAGAGTTGCAGTGCTACACACCATACACAGTGCAATACATATATATTTATCACTAGCAAAGTTGATAGATGAATATCCCAAACATGTCAGAATAAGGGCCGAGTTAGTCAAATTATATATTAATATTGCCCCTACATTGATCTTAATAAGTAAAACATAGACTTTGAGAGGAAAAAGGATTTAAACATATGATGAAATTTTGATTACCGAATAACGCTCTTGCCCTGTTGGCATAACTCGATGCAATGTAGACCTACAAAATGTATGCCAAGCATCAGAAGAAGAATGCAAAACATATTGCGTTTTGTTACTACTGAATTTGGAAAAATAAGCTTTCAACACAAAAGCAGGCAATATGAAGAATACATCTGCTAAACCCAAGGAAGGATTATCATGTATTAGATATAAAAAAGGACAGAAAGTTTGTACTACCGAAATAAGCAGTTTGTCCACCTCTCCATCATATCTCCAATGTTAACTATGAAAGCCCTGCAGAACAAGAATGGAAAAGAAATTTTCAGCAGTTATGAAATGATTCTACTTCGGGCAACCGTGTATGGCTCATTATACTACATACTCAAGCCAAGAAGCAGATTAAATATTGAATAGAGTATATGGGAATGGTGGCAATATGATATAGAAAAATACTACCCGACACATTCATGATTTGATACTTGAAACAGCTTGGCCCATTATTAAGCAACTTTCAAAACCTTATCCATAAAAGGGAAAAAGGGTATATAGACCAACTCAAGGAGAGCGAAAAGACTATGCTTAAAAGATGGAAACATTTTAAAGCAGTTATGTTTGAATAAAAATGATACGAGAAGTTTTGACACTTTCGCCTTCTACTCCGACCATTAGCAGTTATAGACTGACCTACCCACTGAGGTGATGCACATCTTCCCATATCTGAGGTCGGTTGAATTTCTCCCGGCAAACCTGTTAGCTCTAGAACCAATTAATATAAGCATTCATGAGAATCACAGATTTTGATAAACGAAAATATATTTCACATCAGACGTGCCTGAAGTCCACCAACACCATCTGTAGCTAGAAGAGTTAACATCCCATAGTCTGAATGAGCAGAAGCACCATACACCACTTGTTCAGATAACTGCAACTCACCTATAGAAAGTTTACATAACGCATTTTATTTAATGATCAAGCAGGAAGCTCACTGTTCAATGTGAATGATTTATATCAGTTTGCCAAGCACATCGTACCATATTAGTTGAAGGACATACAAGTATTGCATCAGGTGCAGTTATAAAGCATGGAGACATTGATTATGTGAAAAAGAGTGTTCCATTACTATGTCAGTTTTTTAATTCACAATGCTTCGTCAACAAAATACGCGTAACCCAAAGAAAGAAAACTATTAGCATAGAAACTGCTATCCACCCTGAAAAAATTGTCTTTGCAGATTCACAAGCATCAATCAACAAATATGTCTCCCCTTTTTCCTCCCATTTCATATCATCTTGAGGTCCTGATCACAAATTTTATTTTATTTTATTTTTTAAAAAAAGGAAAATAAAAAGTCAAAAAGAAAGATGTCATTTATGGAACTAGTACCTGGATAATGTAACAGACGAAGGAATCCATTTGGTGAATCACATGCCCCTGCTTTATGAAAGAAGTCCTCGTCTAAATCCAATGCCAAAGCAATCAGTGAAATTAGTCTTATACCTGCATCCCTGAGACAATAAAGTCAAATCAAGTAACTTAGTCATATGCAGAACACTCAGCTGCTAGCAGAAAGATGAAGATCAGTGATAATATGCATATTGGACAATTAGAACTTTATTTCTTTTTTTTTTTTTTTAACTGAAGTCCGGCTAGCTTGCGTAGACCTCGACTAATTCCATAGGATACCTGCTACCTCCTACCAGCACAAGGTACCAGGTAACACTGTCCACCAAATTATGGACATATGGGGGAAAATCACCTAGTGTTTATTCCGGGATTTGAAATTGAAACCTCATAGTTCTCAACTCACTTCATTGACTATTAGGCCACACCCTTGGCTGCTGAGTGATTTGAACTTTCAACAACATCACATAGCTTTCAGTTACAAAAAATTATGAGCATAGGGAGCTAAGTGATATGAAATACTGATAGGGGTTGAAGTTAAGAGTTGTTTATACCATGATAAAGTTTCAGGAATAAAGAAATCTAAAATCTCTTTCAGAATATATATATATATCAAAGTGATACTCACAAGACTCTTCTATGGTAATCCTCCATGGTTGATCTCCAACTTGGCAGAACTTCTAAACATCCCAAATGGAAGAAAACATCAAAGAGTCACCACACATGTTTTCTGGAGAAATGTGCTTCAAACAAGGTTTATGTCTAGAAGCATATGTGAAATGATGCACGAATAAACAAAAGGGAGCATTTGCTGGTAAAAATCTATGTTTCTTGTTACAGGGAAGTTATTCACCACAATAAAGACGAACAAACCCCAAGAGCCAAAGTATATTAAGGACAAGATAACAATGTAAGCTCAAATAAACATGTAGAGAATACCTTCTGCCGGCCACTGATTCAAGTTACTAACAACACTCTTTCCTTCCAGAGAACCAATGTAGAAGCTTTCTTTTGAGTCACCTACACTCCAATGATGAACTGATTAACTCAAGATCAATTTAAGCTACCTTCTGTATTATTATCTCCAAATGCAAATCAACTCGAAACTGTAACCAATAAAAGTGTACTAAAGAAAAGTTGACAGCAAGGGATAATCTATATACAAAAGCATTCTCCTATGCAATGAGTTAATTCTTTTGGTAAACAAGTCCTTGCACATGACCAACGTAGCTTAATCTACGCTTATGCCTAACACTAAATTAACTGATTTACCACATGGTCGAGGCCAACTCAACCAAAATGTTTTAATCATGTTGTTTCAATGAAATCCATGTAATTTCAGCAGCAAAATTAAAAGTTTTAAAATATGTAAGTAAGAAACCACTTATTTTCCCAACAAAAAAAAAACACTTTCCTCCATACCAAACACACCTTTAATAAGATGATTTATAACCACTCAAAATGTCTATATCTAATACTACTGGACCACAAGTTTCAGAAGTCTTTTTATTTTTCTTAAACTCTGTGTCTCGTTAAATAAACGAGAGAGAAAAAAAATTACCTTGGGAAGTAGAAGAGGTATCAAGTTTCTCAGCATAAAGGGGAGTATAACCTCTGTGGTTCCTTCGTACCAGTTTCATCTTGTCTTCAAGGGGCAGTGAGAAAAACTTTTTGTTCTGTTCAAGCACTTTCTTAAATAACCTTTCATCTACTCCATGGTTTATTAGGTAAAAGAAACCAACATCTACACATGCCTACACCAAAATTCACAGTGAATATATGTATAGTATACCTCTGGCCTTGCAATAAAAAATTGAGATAATGAAAGAAGAAACCTGACGAATTGCTCGAGCGGTGGAAATAGGATCAGGGGAAGTAAGGTCGATTATGGGAAGTTGAATGGATTCTCTCATCATAACTCTATGCTTTTCTTTGAAATTGAGCACGAAAATTATGCAGGGAACCAATTGACGATTGATTAATTGCTCTTTAATTTAAAAAGAGAGAAATATCCAAAAACACCTTAAATTTCTACTTCTACCTGAATTATAATTTATAGTCTTAAAAATATCTCATACACCCAATCTGGCCACATAACTCATAAGTGAAATATATTTCTACATTCTTATGGCTGTTTTCAAACACTTATTTCAACTTTTTATGAAGAGTCAATACTCCTGCGAATTTGAGACCACATATTTTGTTATGTGACAAATTAAAGTGTATCTAAATATAATTAGTCTAGTGTAAACTTTATTAAAACTGTCAATAATTCAAAAATAAAATTAATAATTTTAGTCAAATTCAAAGGTATTTTCAATATTCCTTCCTTTAAAAAATGTTAATGTCCCACAATTATTATGAGAATGAATTGTCATTTGTCGTGGTAGAATAGATGAATTTGTATTTCTTCAAATATGATACACAACAAAGTAAAAAAAGGACCTCTCTTTTCAAGTTGTTGTTAACTGATTGGACATTTTGCTTTTGAAAATTAGGGAGGATTTTTGTGACATTACGTGAAAATACTAGAAGCATACATATCAAATGAAAGAATTAAGGGATAATTAGATTTAGATATTCGGATTTTTTATTTTTTTATAAATAACATATCAGATAATTTTGTTCATCAAAATTAAAATAAATCATAAGTAAAATTTATTCATGTATGTTTTAATGAAATTTTAAATCATATATAAAAGAGAACTTTAGGCCCGCCTACGTGGCACCACCACAAACCATGATTCCCTTTTAATTTATTTATTTCCAAAATTAGTCTTTCCTTTCATGAAAAATTGCAATTTTTATGAAGAGTTGCAACTTTTATGAAGAGTTGCGACTTTTATGAAAGGTTGCGACTTTTTCAAAGAGTTGTGACCTTTTCGATTAGGCACAATAAACATTTATTCACACTACCCTTTGTTGTCTATAAATAGAGGGATTTCCTCTCATTTTAAAACAACGAAAATTTTGAACTTTTTCTTCTGCACAATTAAATATTTGTGTACTTTGTTCCTGTTGAGTGACTCACTGACACCATTGATTTTTTCCTTTCAGTTTCATTCTATTGTTACAGATCGTGGTATGTTTTTTACAGTCATTAATTTATGCTTATGTTATTGATTGTTGTTTTTGAGTACATGTTTTAAACTTTGTTGTTTATGCTTATGCTTATGCTTCTGATCATTATGTTGAAGTAAAGATAGGTGAATCAACAGTTTGATGTAATCATTAGACAATTGGTGTAATGTAGATTAGAATTCTTAAACTTGTAAAATAAATGACTTTGATCTTTATAGAGTTTTTAGTGGCTAAAAGATCTGTGGAATGTCCAAGAAGGGACTTTTGAGTGTTCAGAAGTTATGGTGGTTCCACACTACCTTGGAGTTTTAGTTATTCAACTTTCTATCTTATCGAGGCATTCAATCGATTAGTGACATCCAAAAAATAAAGGAATGTAGTGGGATGGTAAATATTGTACTCAACCTTAATCAAAAGTGTGGGGTTCAAATGTTGGATTGGAGTCAATGAATTACCCCTCAAAGTAGGATGAATCCATATTAATCAAATATTAAAGAAATAATTATCTCCTTATAAACATTAGATTAAAAGTCGCAAAAAAAAAGTTTTAAGCATATTGATCAAAACATAAACTACAAAATATGTCTTTTGGCTATCAAAGTAGTTTCATCGACTGCGAATGATTTTGAATAAGGTACTTGCCAAGACATCATTTAATCCAAATTATTTGAGCGACACACGTTATTTCATTAAACTCCAACAGATGTGTTTTTAAATTTTAATTAACTTATCAAGTACACAACTAATTATATAAGATGTATAATATTTAGATTCTATATGTAGAGGCCTTGAATAGAAAAAAAAAAACTCTCGCAATTGATGAATAAAATGTTTGTACCACTTTTTGAAAATACAAATATAGACAATTACATGTTTTCTAAAGACTTTGGTGATGAATAACTACAGTAAAATAAAGAATTAATAACAAAATGCATAAACACTTAGAATCAAATCTTTTTTATTTTAAGATTAAAAAAAAAAATCATTTCATCTTTGGATAAAATATTCTTAACAATATATCGTAGGGCTGTACCCACTCAAAAACACTTATATTATCAAATGTTCAGAAGTAGATTATTGACGTAGTTCACCACTGCGCAAAGCGAGGACAATTTACCTAGCTAAAAATAATTTTATAAAAAAAATAAATTATTCACGCATTTGATTAGAAAAGGAGAATATTTTTTTTGATAATATGTTTTATTTGAAACTCTTAAATAGGAAATGAACAAAATTACTTAATGAGATGATTAAATCTTTTACATGTTTGGCATAACACACTTACTACATATAATAATGTTATCCTTACATCTTTATAAGATATATTTAAACCTCTTAAGCAATGAAAATACTACACAAATGAAATTTCATTTAACCAAGTAAAATTAAGATAATTTTGAAATAGTAAAAATAAACTTAGGATAATTTCAAATTTGCCAATGCTATTGGCGATTCCCTTTTGCCATTGCAGGCGATTCTTCACTCACTAAAATTTCAGATTTGCGATAGGCAATCTGGGATTCGATAGTAGGTTCTCTTTTTCAGATGCTCTTCAATAAAAAGCTTTTATCGTTGAAAATTAGACTCAAAGAACTTAAAATTTGATATATAGCACACCAGCACACTATACTCTTTTTATATCGAGAGTTATGTTTTATTTTAAATTGATCTTTGTGCTTACACACCTCGTACACTTATTATCACACTCAAGTTAATATTGTAATAGTATGTAACCTCTTTGGTTCTCTCAACGTGCAGAATGATATTTTGAACCTTATTAGACACTTTTCCAAAATGAAATTGGGAGTAGCGAGAATGGGTGAGGGAATTACAAGGTGGGATATCAAACACTCACCAACAAGACAACAATTCAGGTAGTTGACCAACTAGACAAAAGTTTAGCTAGTCAACCAACTGAGCTACTAAAATTCTCCACCCTATATAAGTTATTACTGTCCTCAACACAACTTTGCGCCCAATCACTAATACACCATCACAAGTTCCTATAATTTTTCACAACAGGAGGTATCTCTAACTAGTTATATAGCAATGTGCAAAAAAATAGTTAAAAACAGGGGTACTTGTTAAATGTTTAACGCTACATTTTTTTTGTATGAAATCTTGGAACAGTATAAATATATAAGACGAGCTGATTGTGTGTTGTAAGTTGCTGAGAAGTGTAACAATGTCGTTGTATAGGAAAAATCACTCCACCTGCTAGTGTTCATTGGCCTGAAAACAGAAATGTGAAGAGCACTCAAATTGGTTCGTTATAAACTAAAGCTGCAGAAACAGTTACATGTAAATGAAGGGAAGAATGGAAATTGATGTGATCAGTTGGACATTCATCAACGTATTACAGAAACATGCTGAATCCTAAATCATGGTTAAACACCAAACAGATACGCCACTACAGCAGTTTAGGAAAGTCCGCAAAAAGCACTTTAAAATTTCTCATTTTTCACACCTTTAAAGGAGTTTGATTTCTGAATTGAAGCTCTAAATAAACCAAATCAAACACAAGATATACCTTAGACATAATGTCCTTCCTTTCACTAATGTAGTAAAGGAGAGACAAGGAGGTTCAGGGGGATGGCATGCAAAAAGAGCATGGTTTGGTTTTTGAAAGGCGACAACAGATTAGCATTCACAGGTATAAATGTCGAACATACCATAGTTTTGATGCACCTTTGTGAATTTGTGGATGGCTTTTATGAGGGAACCAAACTCCATGGACTTTAAGGTTCCCATATGTCTGCAGCCAAAAATTAATAATTTCAGATCCAAAACCCTTTTGAAACATGTATGAAAAATAGTGCATACTAAAGAAACATTAGCAAATTTCCAACCAAGATTCTACCTCAAGGAAAATATGGAAAAAAATTCAAATAAGGGCCAACTTTTAACTAGGTTTGTGAAATTGAGAGCATCTTGTACCCTCCCTATCTGATTTGTTGATTACTGATTCCGGATAACCAACAAGAAATTCATAAATACAAGCTACAGATGCATGTGTGCTGTCATAATGTAACTGTTTGAGACTATACCGCGGTGGCAGTACCTTCAAAGAATCAAAGCAAATGAGGATGGAAATAAAACATAATTTCCAAACCTAAAAACATTATCTGGAGAGTCTGTCGTGCCAGAGATGAGCAAAAAATGTCAAGTGTTTCTGCATTAATGTACTTACACGATCTCAGTGTACCGGATTCTCCATGCTGGAAAACCCATGTGACATCTCACAGGACCATAAACGAATAAAAGATCAGGCTCTGGTCCCCCAAAACCTGTAGGTTTGATAATTTATCACGTTTATAGAAAGCCACCATTCAAGCAAAGATGAAAAATTCATATTGATGAATACATCAGGCAAACAGGGGGGAGGAAGATTAATCAACAGACCTACAGCTTGTAGCGTCTCAGACATGTCAGACTCTGTAAAATTTGGCTTTTCTGGTTTTGTGCTAGCATAATGCTTGGCAAAGAGTAAATTAGCTGCTTTGGCTACTGCAGGTTTTGAATCAGCAAAAGAGACAAACTCCAGGTCTACATGCTTCTGGCACAGAAGGGTATCGGCAAAGGAAACAAACTTAAGTCATTAGTAACATATTATGTAAATTTACTTTAAACTGAGACCTTAATGACATTTGCAGTATAGCATATAAACTTAATTTTAACAATATTGGCTCTATGTCACTTCCCATCCACCCCCTAACCCCAATATAACCAAAAAGGGGAAGGAAATAGCGTAAAAGTTATATATAGAATCTGAACTTATTTTATTTATCATTTCTCATTCTTCTTCAAGACCCAGGTTCATAGTCATTAGTCATTACAATTGTAAAATAACACCGGGACAATTCAAGAGTTCAAATTGGCATCATTCTCTAAAAAGAAGAGAAAATGTAATTCAAAAGAAAGAATTGGTAACTGTCCTAGGCGCGTCTGAAAATAAGACTTAACAGACCCCTATCACTAGAGAAGATAAAATATACTAAATGAGTGGAAAGGGTTTTGAAGGTCTTTGTTTTTTCTCTGCCCCTACTATTATACATGATACTGAAAATTACTAGTGATAAAATCTTCAGAGTAGGTTATTATCATTGGACTAGATAGAGACATCTTTGAAATTAATATATCCTGGATCCAGAAAATGTATAAAATATGTCATTGTCCAGGTGAAAAAACTGTACACTGACCCCTATCCTGAATTCCTTTGTACTTTCTGAGAGTCAACAGTCTAATATTCTGAAATGAGAAAATGTTAACTCACAGTATTGTTTATATAGTTTTTCAATCTCTAACTTCTCAAATGACGAGCTGTCAAATTATTTGCCAAATTCAAGGACATCATGGGAGTAATCTACTATCTTCCATTAATCAGATTCCTTACATTCCTTACATCTTTTTCAGCATAACTCAAGCTAGAGCGCATGTCACATAGATTTGCAGGTGGTACTGTCAGGATTTGATTCCCAACAAGAATGATGCTTCACGTGAATAGACCAGGACTTAAATTTTTTAATGAAGATAAAGGTAATGTATACTGAAATGCAAGAAGTAACAGAAACATAAGTCTAAAACTAGCCAGGAACTTGACAATACCTCACCCAAAGTTCCATGATCCGATCCTTCTACAATGGCTTTCTGGGACTTGTTCAATCCTTCTATAATAGCTGTCTGGGACTTTTTCAGCACTCCTACAATAAGCAATGGCTGTGGGAATCATATTTTTTAGCAAAGTCTTGTAGATGCATCAGAAAGCACATGAACAAGCTGGTAATTAATTTTTTGACGACCTTACCTTCTCTATCATAGAGACAGATGCTTTTTACACCAATAGACGCAAGCCAACACAATAATTCAAGAACTTTTGAAGTTTCACAAGCTTCTTCACTGTCAATCACAACAGCCAGATAGCGCACTTTACTAATGTTAACGGCATTGTAACTCTTTAGCAGCCCACTAGAAATAAGGGTATTCTCAACCATACGAGCTATGCCTAATACAGAGTACCAAACATTGATGATCAAGTGTAAGATGAGCCAGACCAAATGAAGCAAAAGGTTACCACACTGAAAAGAAGTCCAAAACCAAAAGTGAGCTAATATAGTGATATCAAGAAAAAATGAACAGCATGCTTTTAACAAAAAGAAATCTTTGAACTACAATTTCCCTACAGCTGATAGCATAATCACCCAAAGAGGTTAAGAGAGTGACTGAGGAAAGGGACTACTACTTTAGCAATATTGTTTTTTAAATTAAAGAGCTCCGGTGTATTATATATAACTTCCACTGCAACCATAGGTGGGCAGTGTTGAGCCCTTAGTAAGTGAATTAAATTCAGCCACAATTTGATGCCGTTGATATATTCGTGAATCACATATTTCATGTTTTACTGCTTAATCTCAATGAACATGAATGCGCTACTTTGTAAAACAAGGAACTGGTTTAGTTTTTTTTATCTGAGACAAACAAGGAATAGGTTTAGTGTGACCAAAGACCCAAAAACTAAACTCAATCTGAAGCTCAACGGTTAGCTCTTGCTAGATAACGTAGGATGTCAAATCATTTTTTTACAACCACCTAATCAAAATTTCACAATGTAGTTCATTTGTTGATGATCCATAGGAAGCACTACATACTTTTGAATGTATACAATTTAGCCTTTGAAATGTCTAGTTTTTTTGAAATAGATCCTTTGAAATGTCTAGTTCTTTCAAGATTCTTTATACTTAATTGAGCTAGAACAGAATATATGTATCTACTTATATATAACTTATAAGAGATTTAACACAACTACCATAGAAAGGGAATTGACTTCGAGACAGAGATCCCGAAGGGGTGGCCCAATGGTTTGGGCTTGAGACTTCCATGTTGGAGGTCTCAAGTTCGAAACCCCTTGCCAGCGAAAGCAAGGGGTTTGCCTTCTGGGTCGAGCTAGTCGCACCGGGCTTGCCTAGTGCGGGTTACCTCTCCTATGTGGTTTGTGAGCTATTGCATAGGAGTGGGGGTTTTACCCTGTGCGCACCCAAAGGGTAGCGGCTGCGAGTTTCCCTTGTCATAAAAAAAAAAAAAAATTAACGAGACAGAGGAATTGTAGAATTATTCTCCATTAGAGGTGGGCGTTCGGTTCTTCGGTTCGGTTCGATTCTTCGATTTTCGGTTTTAGAAAAGTGTGTACCGTATATTAAATCAAACTAATTTGGTTCAGTTCGGTTTAATTCGGTGTTGTTAAATTTATTTTTCGGTGTGAATGAAAAATAAAATAAGGATAAAATATAAGATACTTAGAAATTTAAAACTATATTAAGGAGTGATGCGTATAACCGTGGAACACTTATTGTGCTAACTAAAAGATTATATTTGTCTTTATCAAGAACATTGTGCCTCCAACTATTTCTCGAGAAAAACAAGTACGAAGACGGTTCCTTTACATAATGTACATTGGTAGAAATATGTTTGAGTTTCTCTTGGAAATTCATATTTGAAGTTAACTATTGAATTGTACATTTGTTGTTACATTGATTTGTTCATGAATGATTTAATTGTTAGTTGAATTTTTAATTTTTAGTTAAGAGAATGACCATATATATATTAAAAAAAAAAATAAAAAAAAAATATATATATATAAAAAAAAAAAATATATATATATATATATATATATATATATATATATATATATATATTTATTTAAAAATAAAAGTTCGGTTCTTCGGTGCACTGTAGTTTTCAGACCCTCACACCGAACACTGAACCGAAGAACCGAACTTCCAAAAAAATAACACTGACACCGAACCGAAGAACCGAATTAGTTCGGTTCGGTTTGGTTTTTCGGTATTTATGCCCACCCCTATTCTCCAAGAGATACTTTTGAATCAATATCATTTGGACAGTGAAGTAAACACTACTTCAAATATTTAACAAGGAGATCCATTATACTTAATACTAACATAGAGAATTTACAATAGGAAAACTAAGCAATGAAACAGTAACAAAGAAGGAGATGAGATTCCAGAAGAATCAGAGGTGAGAAGCATAGACTTTGCCTAAGCACAATACACAATCGACTCCTCTGCTTGACTAATATTTTTCTATATAAATGTATTCTCTCCATCACCATTCGGTTGACACCTCTACAGGGGCATATAACATATATGTACATTAGGTCAATACATACAAGAATATTAACCAAAATTATTATGGCTTACCACAGATGTCCAGCTTAGAATCTTCTGCACCTCATTCCCTAAGCCCATTGATCTGCAAATACTTCAAGAAAAATTAGGTGAAAATAAATAAATTGCTGCAATTTCCCCAACAAAGTAGTTATAGTAATTATCACCAATCACACATACAAGAAACGATAGAAGCAAAACTTTGTACGATCTGAAATTGGTTTTAACCCAAACAAGAAAACACCATAACAATATGCAAAATATCAAACTCTAGCAATTTGGGAGTGAGAAGCTTACCAAAAAAACTAACTTCAAATTATTTTTAATCCAATAAAATAAACCCAGATGAGAAAAACTCATAAATTAGTGAAAAGGGTGTTTGACTCCAAAAAAGTCTAACAGAACATGATTTGATCTCACGTGAGCTTCCTCTGCCTCTCTCTAGATTGATGAAATTCCCACAACTAATCATCTAGGCATAGGCAACTGCTTGGCTGTCCACTTCTTTCAATAGAAAAAGTGTATATAGTTTTGTGGGGAGAAGAACAAATGTTCAAAATGTCTAATGTACACCCTCCGTTCCATATTAGTTGTCCGTCTTTCTATAAATAGTACTACTACTTAGTATTAATTTACAACAACAACATAATTCCACAAGAAAGGTCTGGTGAGGCTAGAGTGTATGCAAACATTACCAGGTAGAGAGGTTGTTCGAACAAAATTATCAAAACATTTAACTTAACATAAAACAAATACATTTAAATTGAATGTAGTAGCAGCCAGCAGGCAGTAGAGGCGAGGACCAACAATCAATACCATTTAATAAACCATTTAACTCCTAGCAGTAGGCACTACGCAGTAGTTCAGAACCATTTTTTGAACATCCAATCAATTACTAATAGTTAAAATTACCAACAAAAAAAAACACTTGCCGAGTTTCTTATCCGATAAATAATGAAATTGAGCAGGGATCCCATACAAAAAGCAGCCCTCAGCAACACAATCCAGAAAAGAACACTATCAGGCAGCAACCTGCTGGTCGCCAACGGGAGACGAGCACGAGAGAGACTGAGAAGACAGTGAAAGAGATGAGATTCGGGAGTTAAAGAGTTTGAGGGAGAAAGAGAAGTGAATTTTGATTTAGGGCACCAAATTTAAATAGGTTGGGCTGGGTTGGGTTGGGTTTTTAAATTAAAATGTTTTAACTTAAATTATAATATATTATTTCGATATTTATTTAATAAAATTATCGTGACTCTTATGCAGGGACGGAGGCAGCATATAATGAGGGAGTTCATCTGAACCCCCTCGGCGAAAAATATTACTATTTATATATAGTTAAAATTATTTTTTAGGTATGTATATGTAACATTTGGCAATTTGAAATAACTATGAAAAAATTTGGAAATTGGAAATAGTCATTTTTGGAAAAATTTAAAAATCTGGAAAATTTGGCTAAGTGTGGAAATCAGTGAGTTTTTGGCCAACTTTGAGCAGTCGTAACTCCTAGCTCAGGATGAGTTAGGAGTAGTTCCAGTTATGGTTGTGAAGCTTGTGGAATGATCTTTCCAACGCCACCGAGTTTGCTCTATTCCGAGTTCGTATGAGCTAGTTATGGCCTTTGAAAATTGGGAAGTTGACAGGGAATCCGTCCGGAATTTTAAGGGCATTTTGGTCCTTTCCCTAGCCACTTCTTTTGGGATTATATTGTTGTATAGGGCTGATCTTTGGATCATTTTGTCCCATTTTAAAGAGAGAAAGTTAGGGTTCTTGAGAGTGAAGAAGAGAAGAAGGAGAAGAAGAAGAGAAGAAGAGGAGATCAACAAGTTTCCGTCGTGGAAATCGTCGGGGGTGATCCCTATCAAGGTATGTGAGTTCTTTGTGTGGGTTGATCCTTTCCCCACACACCGAGCTCATTTTTTATGACTTGAGAAAAGATTGGAATTGTTGTTGAAGTTGTTAATTGTTGTTGATGTTGTTAGTTGTGTTGTTGAAGTTATTGTTGGTTGTGGGACATGATTTGGTTGTGTGTTTGAAGTTGAATCTCTTGTATGTTGAGGGAATTTATGATCCTTAGTGGTTGGGGGATTGGAACCCTTGAAGTTAGGGTGGTTTAGAGTTGAAGAAAAATGGGAGAAAAGTTGAGTTTTTTGGGCAAGGGGTCGGCGCGTCGTGCCTGCCAGCGCGCCCCAACAGGGGCTCTGAGGTTTTCCCCTTGGGGCGGCGCGCCTCTCAGTACGCCAGCAGGCCTTCTCTGACGTTTTGGGTCTGGCGCTCCGCGCCTCTCAGAGCGCCAAGTTTTCCTATTCTTTCCATGTTTTCTCATGCATGTTCCTAGGTGTTATACCTATGTTCCCTAGTTGTTTCCAACACCCCGAAGTGTTTCTAAACATCCCGAACTCATTTATAAACATGCGATTATATGTCTTGAATCCATAATTCAATTCAAGGCGAGTTAGGATCAAAGTTAAGGGAAGTTAGAGTCAAGTCAAGCAAGGTTTAAAAGCAAGTTCAAGTGAGTTTTTAAAGTTATTCAAGAGTCTTTATTGAATGTTTTAGCTTCATTTAAGGCTCAAGTTTCTAGTCAAGTTAAGTAAAGAGTTCCAAGTTGAGTTCATTTCTCAAACTTATTAGGGAACTATGTATTCCCAAGGAAGTTTTAAAGAAATGTTTTTACATTTAAACAAGGTTGGAAACTGAGATTTCCAAAAGAGCCTTCGGGCTAGTTTTTGAGTAATTATCTCATATCAGCAGGAAGAAATATGTTTTAAAAACATAAGAGCCAATACATTTTTGGGAGTAGTATCGAGCACCGAATTGGGAGAGTGTTCAAAGAACCCACAGCTCCCATAGAACCATGTTTGCCACCATGGGTAGAAAATGATCATACTTTTTAGATGAATCCTTTTCCAGATAGACTAGTGGATCCATTAGGCAGTTCAGGTCTTATACCTTTGGCCGGGTATAAGATGCTCTGGCAGCGTGAGGTCGATCGTTGTATCATCACTATAGCTCTCATGTGATGGTTGTCGGTTAGAGAAACTCCCACAGCAGTTTTCATACACATAAAGTATTGTATTTTATATACATCAGTTCATTTGTATTTCTATATACATTTCAGGCTTATTGTATCTTTGTATACACACAGAGTTTATAGCAGGTTTTAAACAGTCTTTCTTTATATCACACTTGTTTTAAATTGCCTTATATTGAAAAAAGTCAGTCAGGTTGAGTTGAGTTGAGCCAGGTAAGTTTTTTTCAGTTTCTTCCAGATCTCCTTCTAGCCTTTGTTGCTTAGTTTCCAGCTCGCATACTCGTACATTCCATGTACTGATGCCAGTTGGCCTGCATCTTATGACGATGCAGATACAGGTACCCCGGATCAGCATCTTGCACGTCGTTGATCCAGCTGAGCAGTTCAGAGTCAGTGGTGAGCCTCTTTGCTTTCCGGAGGACTCAGTTGTTTTGTATTCTTAGTTTTGTTTTACTAGGATGTTGTGGGGTCTGTCCCAACATCCATCTCAGTACTTTAGAGGCTTCATAGACAGACGGTCAGTCAGTCAGTTAGTTTGAGTCTCTCTTTTGTGTATATATATGTAAATATTCTATTTTGAGACTCGAATTGCCTTTTTGGCTAGTTTTTATCAGTTGGTTGTTTATAACCTTTCTTTACATGGAGTTGTGTTGTTGAGTTAAGTTCCGCTGAGTTAAGAAGGTTAGGCCAAGGGTTCGCTTGGGGCTAGCAATGGTCTCCGAGTGCCGGTCCCGCCCAGGGTGTAGGCTCGAGGCGTGACAGTATAATAGATGTTGAATCCCCTTCCACTAGTTCGTGTGTTTACTTCTTAGATTTTAAACTCCCTTATTAAAATTTCTGGCTCCGCCACTGCTCGTTCGTTGAACCTCGAACTAAAAGATTATTTTTTCAGGGAAAAAAATCGAAACCAAAACAAAAAAAAGTTTAATTAAATTGTTAATGCAGCTCGGTTTGATTTTTGATTTTTGATTTTTCGATATCTATGCCCACTATTAAATATCATATTAAAAATAATTTTTTTGATATTCAATATTTATAAATAAAAAAAGAACTAAGACATTTGTACCGAAGTATATAATTAAATATACATTTCATATATATTAAGTATTATAATACTAACAAACATATAAAATAGTATAAGTACAAAATTAATTATTTAAATGTTGGTATTTTGCTTAGTCTGTTTTAATTGAAATATCTTTTTTCTTTTAATTGATTAATAAAGGAAATTATTTGTACTTTTTTGAAATATTTCTACATATATAAAGTTTTGTATGATATAATCAAAATGTTACTTTGAACAGTCGTAATTTATATTATGTAAGTATACTCATACAGTACCCTCGCAATACGCGAAGTTTAGAGAAATCATAAAATATTATATATTGCATTATATGTTGGATTTTATTAAACACAATTTTATAAATTTTTAAATTTAAACAATTTGACCTTGATTAGAAAGTCAACAGAGAAGAAAAAAAAATTCTTCATCTAAATTATCGTAAGATTCTGTATCATGTATAATTAAAATTTAAAATATGTTGATGAATTCATATTATTACTCATCAAAATAAGAAGAAGAAATTTATTTAGATTGTCATGGTCATATCTCTGGTGGGTTGTGAATAATATTAATTAGTCATAATATTTAAATTTACCCTTTAACTTGACCTTATTTTATATTTACACTTTCTACTTTTTGGTGTGTACAAATAGGCACTCTAACTTAAACAAGTTTAACAAATAGACACATGAGTCTTAGTGGCATAATACATATAGGACAGAAATTGTCATGTAGAACATGTGTATTTATATGTTCAACTTTATACAAGTTTAAATGTCTATTTGTGCATATCCAAAGTTAGAGGGCATATATGTGATTTGATGCCTAGTTAAAGGACATATATTTATGTATTACGTCTATTAATTATTAGCTACCTATTTTGGTATGCAAGGAGAGAACAATTGACGAAGAGTTAATGAGAAGAGAATTCTGCAATCGATACAGTAATTCCACTCCTATGCAATAACTCGCATATCATATGGGACGGATAACATGTAAAAATAGTTCAAATAACTTAGGGAGGAATTAAGGAGTTTCAATCATTAACTTCAAGGCAGTTCAACAATTCAAAGTTAAAAAGGTTGGAGAATCTGATGCTATATTAGTTACTGCATGTTTATTTTCATGGAGATCTTTTGAATTCAACTTTTGACCACCAGCTTTTTTCAAAGAAACATATTCCCGTTCCTGTTTTTTTCATTCGTAGTTCGACATTGTATAAAAGTTTGACTAAATTTAAATTTACGTTTTATAATATTTATTTCTAAGGGTAACACTTCCAATATTTTTTTTTTCTATTTTCAAAGCTTGAACGCGAGACTTTCCAATTAAGAGTCGAAGAGTATCCCACTTATTCCACCATAACCCACATCGTTTCTTTGTTAAATACTTATTCTAGTTTCCTATGCCTTACTTTAATTCTTATAGAAACGATGTTGAACTCATCCCAAAATAAGCTAATAAGCTTTGACCGAACAATCAAATATATAGCTAGCCCAATAACTTATTTACAGTGACGGTACGAATTTTATAATGTTAGAAGTCTTTTGAACGCAGATTTTTTTTATAAAAAACATTGTTTGATTATATTTTTTTTTTCATTGTTTGATTATATATTGAACTGATTCTTAAGTTAGTTTTTTTAAGGTAAATCTTTTAAGTTCGAGAAACTGGTTCAATATCAATTTTTCTAGTATAAAATCTTTTACTACATACAAAACTCTTATTTTCACAAAAATGAAACACTATCCAAATATTACTTTATAACTTTCAAATATTATTTTCTTAACGTAACTACAAAAATTCTTCTTCTATCTCCTACCCCGAATGCCCTTCCCCTCCTTCAAATTTGACCGTATTAGTTATAGGGTACAATAAAAGTAAATAATTTATTATACTAAAAATTTATTATACTAAATTATTATATGAACAATATCATCTAAAAAGTTTTTAAAAATTGCTAACACGTATCAATCTTTATTTTGTTCTATTTACGCCAAGCCTGAACTTTATTGATTTATTTTATTTTAATCATCGAAGTGTTTCAATTCTCAAAAGTAATTTTTCTTAACCTATGCAATGATTTGTTTTAGTTTGTTCTTAATGAAGGTACTAGAAACTAAAGGAGCTTTAATAAAGGGAAAAAGGAGAAATATATCTCGAACTATCGTAAATGGTATGTAAATATCCTCCGTCATACTTTTGGGACATTGGTGCCCCTGCCGTCCAAAAACTAGAGCATATATGCCCTTCATTCTAACGGAAGACTAAATAGGGACACATGGCGCAATTTTATCCGTCGATAAATGTCGGATCGGTGGATAAGATAATGACACGTGTATGTCCGTTAGTATAAAGGTATATGCTCTAGTTTTGGACGGCAGGGGCACCAATGTCCCAAAAGTATGACGAAGGGTATTTGCATACCATTTACGATAGTTCAGGGGTATATTTATCCTTTTTCCCTTTAATAAATGATTCTTTTTTTCCAAAGTGAGTCACAGTAACTAATTAATTTTACTATGTTGATTTGAATTTGAAAGTGAAAAATATTTTACATTTGGCATAATATATATTTTTTTCCTTTAATTTTGTTTCATTTCACATTTATGCACTTCAACTTTGAGTGTGCACAAGTAGATACTTGAACTTATATAAAGTTGAACAAGTAGACATGTAAGTTCTATGTGACATAATACACGTCGGACGCGTAGGACACAAATTGTCATGTAGGATGTCAGATGCCATGAATGACGGATGTGTTTATTTGCTCAACTTCATGCAAGTTTAAGTATCTATGCACACCCAAAATTGAAGATTATAAATGTCAGTTGAGGACATATTTATGTATTATGCCAAAAATAAAATATTCTTAACTTTCAAGCTCAAATCAAATAAGTATTGTCCAAATATCTAAATCGACAACAAAAAAAAAAACATTTCTTCCCTTCTTAAATACCATTTGATGTTAGCTGAGACCATAAGGGACAAGAATGAAAATAGTGGAGTGGTTAAAAGAAGAAATAAAGCATAAGTTGAAATCATGTCACTCCTCCCAAAAATCTTTTTTCATCATCTTTCACTTTTCTATACTTAGTCCCTAAGACTTCTCTTCTTCATCTTCTAATCTTCTTTTCACAGTCTACAACACAAGATCCAAAACTCAAGTTCCTTACTTTCAATGGATCAAGATTCAGTTCCTTACATCTCCAAAAAACAGAAACCAAACCATGCAGACTACCCTCGTAAGTTTTACAACATTTTTCCCTTTAAAACTATGCTACTTATCATATTTCTAGTTGCACTTCCACTTTTTCCTTTACAAGCTCCTGAAATCATCACCCAAACAGGAAATTGGGAACTTGTTCAGCTTATTTTAGTTGGTATAGCTGTTTCTTATGGCTTATTCAGTAGAAAAACCGGTAATGATAATGATGACAATAACGATGATGATGATGAGACAGAAAATGAATATTTATATAGTTCAAAGTTTGATAATGTTCAATCTAAATTACTTGATGTTTCATCTTTTTTTGAAAACCATCAAGATGAAAACAGAGTGAATAATTATCAATATTGTAGTGGTAAGCCAGTAGTTGTTGTTGCTAAGGAAAATGATGCTATTATTAGTTCAAGTTTTGTTGAAAAGCCTTTGCTTTTGCCAATTAGAAGTTTAAAATCCCCTGTTCTTGAGCCTATCTCAACTACTACTAATTCACCAAAATCCGTGACTTCATCTCCAAGAAAGATTGATCACAAAATTGTGAGGAAACAGAGTTTTAATAAATCCTCTGTTTCACATCCATCACCACCACCTCCTCTGCCATCGCCATCGATTGTTAAAAAATCTACTCTGTTGAGATCAAGCTCTATAGTAATGGATGATCATAAAGGTTCTTTTGGTAAGGAACTGAGGAGAAGTACTAAGAGTGTTCCATTTGAATTGAGCTCGTATAAAGGGAAGTCTGTTCGAACAATTAGGCCGTTCATTGGGGCTGCAAGAGCCAGAGTATATGCTAAAGATTTCATGAATGGGAAAGCAGAGGATGAAAGAAACAAAAAAGTTGATACACAGATGCAAGTGTTACAGCCAGCATTGATGGATTTTTCAGGGGAAGAGAAGAAAACGTCGATTTTTGAAAATGTAGTAGCGGAAAGTGATGAGGATTCAGACGATTATATTGAAGAGAGCTCGGAAAATGTAGACGAAGAAAGAAAATGTGTTGTTGATGGTAGTCCAGATAATGTAGACAAGAAGGCTGATGAGTTCATAGCTAAATTTAGGGAGCAAATTAGGCTTCAGAGAATTCAGTCCATTCGTACATCGGCTAAACAGCCTGCTAAAAAGCTAATCCAGTAAAAATATTCTTGTTCAAAACTGAGATGATACTATTAATTGATCACTTGCTGTGAAGAGTCTCACATCGCGTTTTTAATATGGGCTTGGGCAATCATCGCAACTAGCTTTTAGGTTTGAGTTAGGGTCAAGTCGTATATTTACTTGCCATTTGAAAAAGTCTTATGGTTTAGCTAGATATCACTTGGCACTACTGAAGTTGTCTTGTCCTTCTTTTTTTTCAGTTTGTATTTGAAGATTTGAGGTTTTTGGTAAAGATATTCTAGTATTGTAGTTATATAATTAGTCATCTATGTCTGTGCCAGTGGTTGATTTAGTACCATGAGGCTCATTGTGGTTATAGAAAAGAAAATCTTTTGGTTTTATGTTGATTATTAACATGGTATTGTAATTCTGTTCTTCCAAAATATGTCTGATGTTCAGAGAATTAATTCTTCATTTATGATCAGTTAATCACTATGCCTTCCTATATCAGTTAAACTATTTTATGATGGTTGTTCAGAAATAAGTGAGAAATTTACAAGAATTGGCTTTAAGGCCAAGTATACATAGTGTCCCATAATGTTAGTACCTAACACTAGGGGTGCCAAAAGAATGAAAATTCGATTCAACTGACCCGACTTAACCGTATCGAATTGATTTATATCATTTTGCAATAAGATTGTGGACTTTTATTTAAGTGTATAATCGTCCCGAATAATTGGGATAAACTTTTTAATTTTAAAAAAAAAAACATGAAAAATTTTCGAACCAAACCGAATAAACTAGGTCTTAGGTCTCTGGTGACTGGACGATTTTGGAGGTTTGTTTTTTGTTAGCCTTTAATTAATTAGGTTTAAAATTAAAAGATTATAATAAATATTCCATCAAACAATACGGAAAAATCCTATTAAAAGTTTAAGATCAAACAACATGACAACAAGGTTTTACCCTTAATAAAATGAGTTATAACCACACAAATATATATCACTTATTTTAGACCATAAATTTTAAAATCCTTTCTTTTTTATCTTAAAAGTCATGTCAAATCAAACTAACTAGTTTAAAATCAAACGGAGGGAAGCCGTAAACTCTGCATATTTACCAATGTGCATGATTGCGATTTCCTAGAACAAAAGCCCAATAAGTTCGACATTGGGCCGGATATCCATCTCCTTATTGAACTATTTAAGTCTACCTATTTGAACTTCGGACAACTCTGTAGTGAGAGCGTCGGAAAATATTTTTCTTTATACCAAACACACCCAGACTATCTTGACTATTATTGCATGCTCTCTCCCATTTCATATATTGGACTAGGACTTGCCTAACTTATATTATTTCGTTAATTTGAAATAAGTAATGAAATTGAATTTATCCAGTTTTGAGAAATTTATTATGTTTAATTCAAGCAAAAATCCCGCAAAATAAGGAACTAAATTCCAATAACATTAGGATACAATGGTACCAGGTTGTAATTTGTTTGTTTAAAAGTTCCCTTAATATATATAAGTACTAGTCTTTAAGAAGGTACAATTAATCATATTAAATCAAGAAACAATTATTGAACAAACTTTCCCAAAATTACTGTTAAGAGGCAGACATTCAACTACTATAAAGTGATTTGGAGTTTACATAAAAAAAAAAAACACTCTTTCTCCAGTCCCCACAAATAATGATGGGAAAGAAAGAAGGAACTAACTACAAAATTAAGTAAAATGGACTTACAACCCTAATTAGTCACTAAAACTAAAAATTGGAGGGACAACAAATAAAAGCAAGAGATTTTCTAGACCCCTCATAACCCCAACAACCTTATCTTATAACAAAACATTATATTCCTCCCTACACACATTATGGTACTTAATATTCACATTTTGTCATTGTCACTACTTTTGTCTTGCAAATGTAGGATAAGTGTCCATTTGACCATAATGCCCTTGTGAGATGGGTGTGGAGGATGGGCCCCACATGTTTAAGGGCATAGGTTGGTGATGCTGATGAGGTGGACCAACGCGATGAGGCGGGATGTTGACAGGTGTATTTGTGGGTCCCGTCGCGACATGCTCACATGAAGGGCACATGGTGAGGGTGGTGGGAGGGGTCATTTGCATGTAGAATTGAGGTGAATGCTTTAGTGACCTTAACTCTTGAACTTCCTTTTGTAACCTCCTGTTTTCATCTGTCAGATTCTCAACGCATCTCTTTAAGAATTCGCAGTCTACTTCTGTTTGCTTCAATTTTGTCCTGTATGTCCATAACAAACTATATTCAGCACTATTAATGTAGCTAAATAGTAGATTTCAAAAGATGTTATATAAGTGTGGGGAATTTCATTTTTCAAACGAGCACTCAACTAATCTTAATAAATATAATTTGAGAAATTAACTCAAATTAGCATGACAATAATGTTTTCTTGTTTAAGTGGAGTTGGAATGTTCACATTTCTCATTAATTATTTGGTACAACAACAAGTCAACCACATACTCGATACAGGTAATCTCACAAGTGAGATCCGACAATTATAAAGTGAGTGCACACATACTTTATACCTATACCTATCGAGAGGGAAGAGATTGTTTCCATTTCTCATTATTAAGTCCATGATTTGGTTTTCACATTTAATATGCTGTTCAATCTTTTGCTTCATTATTATTCCTATGATTGTCTATATTAATTTTGCTTATATATTGCAGATATAATTAAAACGTTTTAATTAATTAGAGACAAAAATCTCACCTAGCTCTCCTATTCTGGAACCACACTTCCACTTGCCTAGGCCTTAATCCCAGTCTCTTTGCCAATGCCAATTTTTGTTTCTGCACAAAAACAAAAAATCATCATCAATACTTGTAAAATTAATTTGAATTTCCGAAAATGCCCTTGAAAACGTCATTTCTTCTAATATATAGTATATATTTGAGTTATAAACAATATTTACCCATTAAATAACATTAATTAGAAACTTACAGGATTGAGGGTATGATGGTCTTTGAAGCTATCTTCAAGTACAGCGGACTGTTCCTTTGTTAAACGGAGTTTTTTTCTACAAGTTTCTCCGTCTTCCTCATCGCTAATACCTCGAGAGCTAGCCCTTTCCATTTCATTCTCCTCAGTACAGTTCCCTTCTCTTTCACTTCGCTTATTTCCACTCAAACTTGAAATAGTGCTGTTCGGAGACGATACGCCGCCTTCCTCCTCCTCCGCCGTCGCCGGCATCCTGTTCACGTCGATTCCCTTCAGGAAACTCCTCGTCTCCACTAATCTGCATGCCTCCGTGTTCAGATCTGCAGAAAAAATCGACTCATTTTTTAGATCAACATAATAAAAGTACAGACTCAGAGAATTTAAAATTAATTAACAAACCTGATGAGGAATGAGAAAATGGAGGATGAGTAGTCCAATAATTATTATTGAAGGCAGAAGAAGGGGATATTATTGTTGAAGGAATGAGATTTATGGTGGTTGTTCTCTTTTCTGCAGAAAAACTTAGGCTGAGACTCAACCCCAGATCTTCTTTCCCATCATCATTTTAATTACTAATTTCTCTATGTATAACTGTTTCTCAAACAAGATTTTTTCAGTTTTTTTCTTCTGGTAAGATGTGAGAATTAAATTGGACTTTGCAATCTGAAGAGTGATGGTGTAATGAAGGGGTTATATATAGGAGAATGCACTGCTTTTAAAAAAATATATATTGATAAATAAAAATACTTTCGATATTTTAGGACAGGGGAAATAATTTTTTATACTCCTAATAATTGTCATGTTATATTCCTCAATAGTCAAATTATACTTGGCTACATCTTAATTTAATTTATTTGGTGCCATTTAGATGCAAAGAAGTACGATATTTTTTAATTTAAAAATAATTTAATTTTACTTGATACAAAAGGTTAAGAAATAAAGAAGACTACAATAAAATTATGTTATCAAAATATCTTTTTAATTTTATATCTTATAATATGTAACCTAAAAAAATGAAACTAAAATATTATCAAAAAATAAGAAAATATCTTTTTTGAAAAAGATTAAAAAAAATAGGTCATTGGTTTAAAAAAATGAATAATAAATTGATTCTTACGCAGTTGCGAAAGTGGTCAATCATGAGTAAGAGGTTTGCAGAGTACCAATTATTATCACAAATAATAGCTTTTACCATATAAATTATTACTAGTATATGATAATTAATTAATTTTTTATTGTCATTTGTTATCGATATAGATCGATTCTTTATTACTTCTCTCCATTTTAATTGTTCACAATTTTACACGTTTTTTAAATTCAATGTTTTGAAAAATATATTAAAAATAAATAGGAAGTTAGTAACAAAAATAATGGTTTATTTTAATATAATAAATAAATAAAAATAAATCAAGGGAATACATACTAAACAAAAACAAAAAAAGGTGCCTTTCGTACGTCAATATCTTTCATGTAAAAGGAATTTATTTCTCAACCTCGTATAGTGCTGCTTTCACTTTGTTTTTTTATTCTTTTCACTTTAACTTGTTCTTATTATTGTGTAAGCAAACAGAAAGAAATTGGTCTTTTTGTTGATCAGAGTGATTAAAATCTTTCACAATATATAATCTTGTGGTATAAGATTGAATTGATCGATAGAATCTTGTATTAATGAGTCTTTGATGAGACTTTCTACGTATGTCTCATATGTAATCACATAGAGATTATTATCCACGCAATACTAATAACAATTTACAACTTATATATATATACCTTGATATAGTATTGTAGACAATTAAATTCGCGTCGAGAAAACAATAATCAAGAACGAAAAATTATAGCAACAATCGTATTTATTATTTCAAAGTGCGAGTGTTACAATATCTATGATCCCTCTGAATTCGCCTTTCAAATATGATTCAAGGGCTTTAAAGCTTGTTCTTGAATCTTTGATGAATTTGAACTTTGAATATCTTGATCTTGACTTTTGCTTGAATTCAAGGGCTTCGAGCTTGTTCTTGAACCTAATAGTCTTGATCTTGATCGTTCTTGAACTTGAATGCTTGAATCCTTAAACTTGTAGCTTTATAGAGAATTTTATGGCGTTTGTACCACGGATTTTCTCTAGCTTCTTGTTTAGAATTTTGTGTCTTCTTTTTGAATTATGAAGACCCCTATTTATAGTTTTAGAATAGAAGAGTTGTGATTGGAACAGGATTCCCTTCGGCCAATCAGATTTAAGTGACATGACATATGGGCTTTATGGAGCGGGCTTGTCATCTTTGACACACGTCATGATCCTATTGGCTTCTTGTTTGACTTGGCATGCCACTTCATTTGCCCACGTGGCACCAAAAAATGGGCCTCTAGGAAAATATGACATTGGACTTAGCAAATTGGGCTCAATCTACTGTAGCCCAAATCAATTAATTTTGACTTTAATTAAATCCATATTTATTGGACT